AAAAACGAGCTGATCTATTATCAGATCTGTGGCAGAGCCAGCATGATCCAGAGCATTAAAATACGATTTTTAAGACAAGTTAACAGATCAAAAATAAATAAAAGAAGCAAAACAGTAAAAGAAGAAGAAAGAGAGAGGAAGAAATACAACCAAATGGGGCCGGATGGCCCGAGATTCTCGAGCCTTCGAGGACTCGCCCATATCAGAATCGATCATCTTTGCCTCTTTGATTTGGATGTTGACCAATAGATCTTTAGTGTAATGGGTTAGATCTAGGGTTGTTGTGCCCTAATTATAGTTTTGATCTAGGGTTTTTGTACCATAAGTATTGGTTTTCTCAGTCTTGGGGATTAGGACTTCAGGAGGCTAGGGTTTATATTTTCTCTGGGGTTTTCAATCTAGAGACTTTTTTAAAGCTGTCGATCTTTCTCGGGGTCTAGAGGAGAGTTTCCTTAGTTTTCTAAGGGTTTTGTGATCTCCAGGAGTTGAATATGAATTCTGAGATTTTCTCTAATTTTTTGAGATTTGTTTGGAGTTTTTTTAAATTTTTAAGAATTTTCTAAGGGTTTTTCTTATTTTCGGTATTTTCGATAATTTTCCTAATTTCAGGAATTTCTATGGTTTTTTGGTCTATTTTTCTCTCTCCTTTTGGGTTTAGTGAGAGGGGGTATTTATAAGATTCAATTGGTGATTTTTTCTAAATGTTTTGGAGTGTTTTTGCCAATTGTTTGGATATTTCTTGAAGTTTTAACTTTATCTAATTAAAGAAAACGTGTTTACTGCATCATCAGCCCTCATCTGGGCATGTCGGGCCCGTTACAGCCCGGCCCGCGGCCCAGCAGTTAGGTCTCACATGGACTAAATTGTCAATTGTTATATATTTTTATCCATAGATATGATTCAGACGATTCTTAAACAGTTGGAAAGCTCTTGGGCTCTATTTCAAATTGAGATACGATTTGAGTAGTTTGAAGGCAATTAAATTGGGTCTACTAGGATAATGTGGTCCTAAGGGTTCAGAAAACTATATAATTTACCAGATTTAAAATAGGGTGTCTATAATGATAAGCTTCAAACTCGTGCGCCGTTAAAGAGTCGAGAAAGGATAAACGTCAAACTCGTGTGACGTAAAAGAGCCGAGACAAATAAGCGGCAAACTCATACGACGTTAAAGAGTCGAGACATGATATACATCAAACTCGTGCGACATAAAAGAGTCGAGACAAAAAAAAAAATAACGTCAAACTCGTGCGACGCTAAAAAGCTGAGACATGAAAAACATTAAACTTGTGTGACGTTAAAGAGCTGAGACAGGAAAAACGTCAAACTCGTGCGACGTAAAAGAACCGAGACAGGGACCGTCTAGCCCCGTATGACGTGAAAGGTCGGGTGTATCCACAACAATACCACCCTGTTCAATGGAAAAACGTTAACTCGTGCGATGTAAAAGAGCCGAGATAGGGACCGTCCAACCACGTATAACATGAAAGGTCGGCTGTATCCAGGGTACAAGCACCCTGTTCAATGGAAAAACATCAAACTCGTGCGACGTAAAAGAGCCGAGACAGGTATCGTCTAGCCCCGTATGACGTGAAAGGTCAGGTGTATCCAAGGTACAATCACCCTATTTTAATAGAAAAACATCAAACTTGTGCGACGTAAAATAGCCGACACAGGTACCATCTATCCCCGTGTGACGTTAAAGGTCGGGTGTATCCAGGGCATAACCACCATGTTCGATGGAAAAACGTCAAACTCGTGCAACCTAAAGGAGCTGAGGCAGGTACCATCTATCCTCGTACGACACAAACAGGATGGGTGTATCCAGGGCACAACCACCCTGTTCGATGGATTCTGTCGATCCCCGTATTGATGTAAAAGGGTAGGGTGTATGGTCCATCACTGCATGACGCTAAACTGCTTAGAGGGCTCTATTGTTGAAGGAGTTAAAACTACTAACCAACCTTGTTTTCGAATATCTTTCTCTTTTCAAAATTTTCACTGTATGTCTTGTGTTTTCCAAAAAAAAACTTTAATTTCTTTGTTAAAATTGTAACCTGTCCTTGCTCCGGGTTCTATTTCAAATCTCCCCCTACTTTCAAAAATTCTAAAAAAAGTCTTAAAAAAATGAAGGAGCTTAGACACCCGTATATGATGATTATCGCGTTGCTGCCTCGTTTCTTACTTCGGATTGTGTCAAACAAGTCTTTTTCTATATAAGCTTTTTCCTATAGACAGCCTTAGGAAACCCTAAGGAGATCAAAGAAATGCCAGGGTTAAAATTCAAACTACAAAACCCCCTGAAGTTAAGTGACATGACTAGAAAATCTAACTCGAGTTTCAAGCTTTTGTGACTCACTGACATATCTCACATCGAAAACCCTATGAGGAAATATGCCCTAGGTGGGTGAGCTCGGTGAGCGCAATGACTTGGAGGGATAGTTGGTGTGCCCGTAAACCGCATGACCTCAGGAAGAAATTTAAAATATATGTTTTATTTTTGACGTTTACCTGCTCCTCGAAATACATGGAGCACCAAAGTGTCTACTTCTTTGCCACTCACCTGTCCCTCGAAGAATAGGGAGTGCCAAAAAAGGGTAACTGTAGACACCTCATTTTAAATCTGGTAAATTCTATAGTTTTCTGAACCCTTAGGACCACATTATCCTAGTAAACCCAATTTAATTACCCCAAAACTACCTAAATCCTATCCCAATTTGAAGTAGAGAGCCCAAGAGCTTTCCAACGGTCCATGAATTCCCTGAATCAGACCTACAGATAAAACGATATAATAAATGATAATTTAGTCCTTGTGAGACCCAACTGTGAGTTGTAACGGGCCCCGACAGGCCCATACGCGGGCTGATGATGCAGTAAACACGTTTTCTTTAATTAAACAAGGCTAAAACTTCAAGATAAATCGAAAGTTTTTTGAAAAATCTCCAAACAATTTAGGAAAAATCACCAATCGAATCTTATAAATACCCCATCTCCCAAAACCCAAAAGGAGAGACAAAAAAGAGACAAAAGAAACTTAAAAATTCTCGAAATTAGGAAAATTACCAAAAAATACCAAAAATAGAAAAAACCCTTAGAAAATTCCTAAAAATTTAAAAAAAATTCCAAAAAAATAAAGAGAGGTTTTGGCCCTCGTCTCAGTAGGCCTACCATCACACATAAGGGTCACACAGTTCCTCAGCTCTCTCATCTAAGCATAAGCTCCGACCTCATCAAGAGCTAACCCAAAACCCTCATCGGTTAATTCTTTATGCCCAGGTACCTTGGGTTTTCTAACCGTCTGGCCTAGATCAATAAGCATCGTCCGGTATAAGCAAACATATTTTGTTTAGTATGGTCTGCAAAAGACCACACTCCCACTGAGTTTATGTTTCACTATAATGAAAGTATTTCAATATACACTCATAAGGCCTTTAAAAGCCATATAAACCCAACACTCACAAACATTTTCTATCGCTTTGCTTAAATTTTATATTTTTGAATTACTAACTCTTTTCTCTCTCAATATTTGAAAATGTGCATCTCTTATTAAAACTCCCTCATCTCTCATCTCAGGCACATCCCTCATCTTTTAAAGTTGAAAAGGTACATCTCTCATTAAAAGTCTCACATCTGCTTTGGCCACTCCAAACCCTTCCTTTGTCATAGAGAACCCTTTTAACCAATTCCACCTCCAGAGCTTTGTTATCAAATGTCCTCCTATTGCGCTCCATCCAGATCTCCCAAAGAGCCACAACTCTTACCATCTCCCAAATCATCTTGCCCACCATTGGTAAAGAATCCAACTCCATGCTACCCAAAATATTCATATGACCACTCGGTACCACCATCATATGTCCAATTTTTTGAAAAATCCATATCCAGATGTGAAAAGAGAAAGGACAATGAAGGAAAAGATGATCTCCATTCTCATCATTTTCCTTACACATAATGCAAAAATTCGTAATAATCCTACCCCTTTTTATGATCTTATTCACAGTAAGCAACTTTCCTTGGAGCAAAATCCATAAGAAAATTTGAATTTTGAAAGGGACCTTCCAACACCATATTCTATTCAATAATGGCCTACTTCAACGAATTTATCATGAAGCAATAGACTGTACGCTAATTTAACTGACAAAATACCGACCTTCTCAGCCTCCCAAACTAACTCGTTTGCCCTCTCTCTATGTGGAGTATATTGATCAATCACTGAGTCCGAAATTCTGTTGTACCTACAGTTTAAAGACCAGACATTTGCATCCCAATCAAAGGTCTGAGATGCCATGATATCTTACTGATTTGTCGCTCCAAAAACCAGCGGATATGTCGATTTCAAGCAACAATCTCCCACCCACTTACTATGCCAAAAAGATATCTTTCTCCCATGACCCAAAGTCCACTTACAACCACCAATCATAAAAAACATGTTTTGAAGAATTCATTTCCATATCGGTGATTTAAGAACATCCCTTCCCTCCCTGCCTATCCAAAGATTATGCTGCTCCACTCCATATTTGGCTAATAATATATCTTTCCAAAACATCCCATCATGGGTCATTAATCTCCACTACCACTTTGAAAGCAAAGCCTAATTCACATATTTGAGTTTTCTAATTCCTAAACCACCTTCTCTTTTTGCTGTGTAAATCCTCTTCCAACTTACCAAATGATATTTATTGCCAAAATCTCCCGAACCCCATAAAAAGTTATTCATAATCTATTCAATCTTTTTGGACACTGAACTTGACATTACTAAATAAGACATTTTGTCTACCGGTAAATTCGTCATTGATGACTGAATTAGAATTGCTCTCCCCCCAATGGATAAATGCTTGACTTTCCACGAGTCTAGTTTTGTGTTTACTCTTTTTAAAACCGGATCCCACAACGACTTGGGCTTTTTGTCATCCAAGATTGGCATGCCAAGACAACTAAGTGGAAACTTCTCTACTCTACATCCCAAGTGAAAAGCCAATCGCTTTAGCATTACATCTGAACACTCTACCCCCACCAAGGATGTTTTCTCAAAATTGACTTTGAAGCCGAGCACCACTTCACAATAGTACAGAAACCTTCTGATATTAATTATCTGATCCACCTCTGCATCACAAAACATCGAAGTATCAGCTGCATATTGCAGATGAGTCATTGTCAAAGGAGATGTTTCAGATACCTTAAATCTATAAAATCTTCCCCTCTCTTCTACATTCCTTATCATCAAACTCATAACTTCAGCAACAATTGTAAACAAGAATGGAGAAAGCAGGTCTCCTTGCCTCAATCCCCTTGAGACCTTAAAAAAGCCTTTCGGGTTTCCATTAACCATCACTGAAAATGCGCCGAAGAAATGCACCATTTTATCCACCTTCTCCATTTTCCCCCAAAATACCATACATCTCAATGCCTCCAGCAAAACATCCCAATTGACCCGGTCGTAAGCCTTTTCCATATCTAATTTAAGCAATGCTCGTGACTTTCTTTCCAACTTTCTCGAATGAACATATTCTTGTGCAATTAAGACTCCATATGTGATAATTCTCCCTTTAATGAGGGCCGATTGTGTTCCTGAAATGATCAAATTAAGGACTCCCGTGAGTCTATCAGCCAATAACTTTGCTAAAATTTTATACAGACAAGTCAGAAGACTGATAGGTCTAATATTCGACATTCCTGTTATAGCCTGCTTTTTTGGAATCAAAGCAATATAGGTTGAGTTTATGGTTTTATTCACTACTCCTTTTGAAACAAACTCATTAAGCATAAACACCAAATCTAGTTTTGTGAGATCCCAAAATTTTTGAAACAAAACCACAGAAATCCATCAGGAATTGGGGCTTTATCTCCTAACAAAGCAAAAACAGCCCTTTTAATTTCCTCCTCTGATGCCATTCCTTCCAAAGACAAAGCAATCGACCTTGGTGGCACTTTAAAACCTAAATCATTAAAATTTGGTTTTATATGTAAGTCCTTTGCAAAGACTTTTTGAAAATGCTTCACAAACTTTATCTCCCATTCATCACTCTAATTATCCTCCACCCCTTCAAAATAAATACTTGACACATCATTCTGACGATGCCGAGCATTCGCAATGGCATGAAAAAACTTGATATTCAAATCACCATCTTTCAACCATCTAACCGTCGATCCCTGCCTCTAATGTATTTCTTCTAAACACAAAAAGCCATGTAAAATCGACATAAGCGTCCTCTTTTCTTCCTGTAAAGCAGTCGTTAGTACTCCTCCATTTTGTACCACATCTTCCACTCCTGTCAAACACATTAAAGTATCCCTAATTTTATTTTGCAGGCAAAAGTGAGTTTCTTTTTTCTATCGGATCATATATGCTTCCCACTCAAAAGTTTTTTATGAATGCTGAACCCAAAAGAATCCAAGACAATAGCATTAGTCCATGTCGTATTTATCATATCAAACACTCCTTCCCCTTCCAACCATGCAAAGTCATAACGAAAAGGCTTTGGGCCATTAAAATATCTTACTATCATCATCTTCTTAAATCCCTTTCATCTCCTATCTCTTTGCCCTTTCTCTCTCATATATCTCTCAATTTAAAAATGTGTATTTATTTACCAAAAAAACAGTGCATCTCTGAATAATTTATTATCTTTAAAATTAAAACTAATTTCATTTATTTTGGATGATGTATAGTGTTGATTGAAGTGGACCACGAGACATGCTACCTTTGTGCTTTCAAATGTTAGTATTTTCTCAGATACCTTATTATTAATTTTTTTATTATGAGTTATTCTGAATTTTTAAATTGAGTTTAATAGAATTTTTAAGTAATAATTATTTTGTCTTAAAATGCGTACCTACTTTTTAAGGTTTTGTAGTTAGAAATTTGTAATTTCTAATATTATTATATCATTTTGTATATAATATTTTATTTAAAAATGAACTATATTTTTTGAGACTTTGAATAACTATAATATGTGATCATAAATTTTAGCTTAATATAAAAATAATTCATAATGAATTTTGTAAGTAAGTTTCCCTTTCCGATAGATAACTTGTTATTTTATTTAAATTTTGTCTTTTATTGTTTTCTTTAAATTATATATTTTAATTACTAATTTTTATATATTCAAAATTATGTAGGATTGTTATTCACACTCTACAATATTAATTTATTTTTATTATTTATTGTACTCCATAATTTTTTAAAATTTCCATACAATGCACGGAATGCTAGTCTAATATATACTATACTTAGGATACTACATTATCAAGTCAAAGTTATTGGGTGGACAGGTGTCAAAAAGAATAAGAAGAGACCTTATATATAGAAAGATTGTGACATGCGGATACAAGTATTTTTACATAGCCCATAAACATAAGAGAAGAAACAACACCCACAAAAAACTCTCTTTCTCTACCATATGAAAGATTAACTATTTTTTTCATTAACAAAATTCCCTCCCTTTACAATGCACGAGTAACCCTTTTATTCCCTCCCTTTACATTGCACGAGTAACCTTTTTATACATAGACGTGAGACGAAAATGGATTTCAAGTTTTGGGAATAGTGTATTTTATAATGCCTTATTGGACCGCTAATTTTCAAGATTTTCAAGTCTTCATAGATCTGTAAGTTTAAACTTCATAAATAAAGATGAAAATATAATTTAAGGTTAGCAAAAAGATTTTGAGTGTTAAAACCACATTTCCCGACACTATTTGAAAGTAGGCTGTAATTTGATTGTTTAGAGCCTCGGCTCTAAACAAACTTCACCCTTTATATATGAGGGTCCTTTCCAAAACTTTCTAAAAACTATATTCTCTTCCTTATCTAATAAGGGTTCCTTATCTAATAATGGTGTACGCTTCTTAATGTTAGGATGCAAGCCCTCCATGCAACCAAAACAAATAATGTAACTCCAAGTCCTATTAGAAAACGTAACTCCTAGTGCAAAACGTTATCTAAATAAACACTCCTATCTCTAATAGGTAACTCCACTCTAAACAAATAATGTAACTCCAAGTCCTATTAGAAAACGTAACTCCTAGTGCAAAACGTTATCTAAATAAACACTCCTATCTTTAATAGGTAACTCCACTCTAAATGTTATCGAAAGAAACAATCCTAAATACGTATTACCAATTCAAAAGAGTAAACTTTTTTCTAAGAAAATTATTTCTAAAACAAAGAGATTATTTCAAATTAAAGATGGACTCTAAAATTAATGAACTTATCAAACTAAACCAAAAAAAACCATACTCATCCTATTTTTAAAATTTGACTATAATAAAATAAAGTTATCAACTAAACCTAAAAGTCATTTTTTAATAATTAATTCTAATAAATAAAATAAAGAGTCTACTCAAACCTTAAAACTAAAATTAACAAAAATAAAATTAAAATTTTAACCACCAAATTTTGATCTGAGTCATATTATGGGGTACATGCTTTTTAAACGTGACATCCCCTAAAAATGATATGTCCCTAAATTTTAATATATCGACTCTAGAGAAGAGAGAGAAGAGAATGAGGCTCCTAAATATGAGGGGGGGAGAGGGTTACATGGGATGAGAGAAAGAGTGAGTTTATTTTTTAGAAACTTCTGAAATTTTAAGAGAGAATATTAAAGAGAGATTATCACTCGAAATAAATATTAAGGAAATATCTCCCTAAATTTGAAAAAATGCTATTGAATAGATCCTAAAAATTAAGAAATATACTATATAAGAGAGATCTTACATATTTAGAGAGAGAGTCTGGTGGATTTTAAAATATTGAAAAAGAGAGAGAGCATAGAAGAGAGAGAAATACCTCTAAACCATGAGAAGGAGAGAGTTGACGTGGATAGAGTAATAAAAAAGATCAAATTAATAAAGATAAAATTGGAATATATACCTTTACTGAGAGATAGGAGAGAGCATTGGCTTTCCATCTCGAGGGAGGTAGAGAGCAGTATTAGGGTTTTTAGTTGGGAATAGTTTACATACAGCAGAGCAGAGGCTCTAAACAATCAAATTTGAGCCTATCTCGAAACTTTTATCGGAAGAGGTTGTTTTGATGCTCAAATATCTTTAAATTATTTTTAGTTTTAGAAATAATGTATTTTGTAACACATTTTTAGACCATCAATTTTAAATATTTTCAAGTGTTCATAGATATGCCAATCTACATTATTTTTTAAGCTTTAAACTTTATAAATAAATATAATATATATTTTAGGGTGTGGTTTGTATAGAGCCGAGCCTCTAAACAATCAAATTTGAGTCTACCTTCAAATAGTGTAGAGAAATATGGTTTCAATATCGGAAAGTTTTGTGATAGCCTTAATTATATTTTCATTTGTAGTTATAAAATTTAAAGCTTAAAAAATAGTGTAGATCAATCAGATATATGAAAACTTGAAAATCTTAAAAATTGACTGTCGAAAAATGTATTACAAGATGCTCTATTTCCAAAACTTGAAATTCATTTTTTTCTCATGTTCGTGCATCTTGATGTCGAGATTATTAATTTGATGATATTTGGGCATCAAAACGACCTATTCTAATGAATGTTTTGAAGTAGGCTCTAATTGATTGTTTAGAGCCTAGGCTCTATATAAACTTTTCTCTATATTTTAAGGCTATAACAAAGATTTCCTGCATTGAAACCACATTTTCAATACTATTTGAAGGTAGTCTCTAATTTGATTGTATGGGGAAAAGTTTATATTGAGCCGAGGCTCTAAACAATCAAATTCGACTCTATCTCAAAAATTTCTCCAGAAAAGGTTGTTTTGATACCTAAATATCTTTAAATTGATCGCGACATCAAGATGCATGAACATGAGAAAAACATAGATTACAAGTTTTGGAAATAGTGTATTTTGAGATGTATTTTTTAATCGCCATTTTTCAAGATTTTTAAGTTAGCATAGATATGTTGATCTACACTTATTTTAAAAATATATTTTAAGGCTATCTCAAAAATTTTCAATATTAAAACCACATTTTTCGCGCTATTTGAAGGTAGGCTCTAACTTGATTGTTTAGAGCCTAGGCCCTATACAAACTGCAGCTTTTGTATATGATGATCGATATACTTGTCCATCTCTGTGACGGGTTACACGTATTAGGGTTTTGTTTTCCTCTCTGTGTTGAGTTCAAATTGTCTCTGAATTGGTTTCCTCACCAAAGGCGGAACTGAGGTCAAGCTTCCGAGACCCACAAGGAGAAACAAGACCCATCCAAATCACTGCGGAGCAGATTTTAGGTATTCTATTACTCATCCTCTCCTCTCTATCTCTCTAATTTTATAGTTTTTTTTTTCTGTAATGGAACTTGATGGACTCAAGAAACTTGAGTATTTGTCCTTGGTGTCGAAAGTGTGCTCTGAATTAGAGTCCCATATAGGACTGGGAGACAAGCTTTTGGCCGAATTCATAATCGACTTGGGTAAAAACAGTGCAAATGTTGAAGAATTCGACAAAAAACTCAAAGAGAATGGGGCAGAGATGCCCGATTATTTTGTTCAAACGCTTCTCACTATTATCCATGCTATTCTTCCTTACAAGCGCAAGGAAACCCCAAAAGAGGACCGGCAATCGACTTTTCCTGGGCTTTCTCTTGCAGATAATAAGGAGAGGGTGAAAAATTTAGAGAGAGAAATTGAACGAGAGAATTATATGGCTAGGGTTTCACGGGAGAATGGCAGAGATCGAGAGAAGGAAACTGATCGAAAGGAGTTTAGAGATAAGTCTTCTGGTAATAATGGAAGCGGCAGGGACAGGAGGAGAGAGCACGACAGAGATGCTTCTAGGGTTAGGGGCTGTCGTGATGAGAATGGCAGTGATCGAGTTGATTATAGGGTCAGGGGTTCCCGTGACGAAAGTGGCAGGGATCGAGATGATTCTAGAAGGGATTCTTATGAAGACAGAGACAGGGATAGGGATGACCACAGAAGGAGGAGCAACCACCATGATCGGAGAAGCAACAAACGTTATGATAACAGGGATGAACATTCAGATAGGGAAGATGGGAAACATCACAACAGAAAAGCCCAATCAAAGGAGCCTGAATTGTTTGGTGTTTACTCAGGAAGAGTCTCTAGAGTGATGGACACTGGTTGTTTCATTCAATTAAATGATTTTCAGGGTAAAGAGGGACTAGTTCATGTTTCTCAAATTGCTAATAAAAGGGTTGTTAATGCAAAAGACGTAGTGAAAAGAGACCAAGAAGTGTTTGTAAAGGTGATATCGGTGTCTGGTCAGAAGCTGAGCTTGTCGATGAGAGATGTAGATCAAAAAACTGGCCAAGACCTTCTTCCCATGAAGAAAAGCTCAGAGGATGATGCATATAGGGCAAACCCCATGAATTCGGATCGACCCCAAGGTACGAGAACCGGGTTATCAGGGATAACCATTATTGATGAGGATAGCACCATGCCTTCTAGAAGGCCACTAAAGCGAATGAGTTCACCCGAGAGATGGGAAGCCAAACAATTGATAGCTTCGGGGGTCTTGGATGTAAGAGACTACCCAATGTATGATGATGATGGGGATGGAATTCTTTACCAAGATGAGGGAGCTGAGGAGGAGCTTGAAATTGAGCTCAATGAAGATGAACCACCATTTTTGCAAGGCCAAACTCGATACTCTGTCGATGTTTCTCCAGTTAAGATAGTTAAAAATCCAGATGGTTCTTTACAAAGGGCTGCAATGACCCAATCTGCCCTTGCTAAAGAAAGGCGCGAGCTTCGGGAGCAACAACAGAGAACCATGCTGGATTCAATCCCGAAAGATCTTAACCGTCCCTGGGAAGATCCAATGCCCGAGACTGGAGAGAGGCACTTGGCACAGGAGCTTAGAGGAGTGGGTCTCTCAGCGTACGATATGCCTGAATGGAAGAAGGATGCTTTTGGAAAAGCACCCACTTTTGGGCAACGGTCAAAGCTCTCAATCCAAGAACAAAGGCAGAGTCTCCCCATCTTTAAACTCAAAAAGGAATTGATCCAAGCAGTGAATGACAACCAGGTATTGGTTGTTATTGGGGAAACTGGATCGGGCAAAACTACTCAAGTTACACAATATTTAGCTGAGGCTGGATACACAACCCGGGGTAAAATTGGGTGCACCCAACCTCGTAGAGTGGCAGCCATGTCAGTGGCCAAAAGAGTTGCTGAAGAATTTGGGTGTAGGTGTGGTGAGGAAGTGGGTTATGCAATTCGGTTTGAGGATTGCACCGGGCCTGAAACTGTTATAAAGTACATGACTGATGGTATGCTTTTAAGAGAGATTTTGGTAGATGAGAAACTGTCTCAGTACTCGGTTATTATGCTTGATGAAGCTCATGAGAGAACCATACACACTGATGTGCTATTTGGGCTATTGAAGCAACTTATTAAGCGTAGAAGCGACCTTCGACTCATTGTAACCTCGGCTACATTAGATGCCGAGAAGTTCTCAGGGTACTTCTTTAACTGTAATATCTTCACTATTCCTGGGAGAACTTTTCCAGTGGAGATTCTCTATACAAAACAACCCGAAAGTGATTATTTGGATGCAGCTCTGATCACGGTCATGCAGATACACTTGACCGAACCAGAAGGTGACATTCTTCTCTTTCTAACAGGTCAAGAGGAAATTGATACTGCTTGTCAAATTCTATATGAAAGAGTGAAGGGACTTGGTAAACATGTGCCCGAGCTTATCATTTTACCAGTTTATAGTGCTCTCCCCAGTGAAATGCAATCAAGGATTTTTGATCCAGCTCCTCCTGGAAAAAGGAAGGTGGTTGTGGCTACTAACATTGCTGAGGCTTCTCTTACTATTGATGGGGTATATTATGTTGTGGATCCTGGGTTTGCTAAGCAAAATGTGTATAATCCAAAGTTGGGGTTGGATTCCCTTGTCATAACTCCTATTTCACAGGCATCAGCTAAGCAAAGAGCAGGTCGTGCAGGTCGTACAGGGCCTGGCAAATGTTATCGATTGTACACTGAGAGTGCGTACAGGAATGAGATGTTGCCCACTACGGTGCCTGAAATCCAGAGAATTAACCTCGGGTTAATTACGCTTAATATGAAGGCAATGGGGATCAATGATTTGCTTTCTTTTGATTTTATGGATCCCCCTCCAACTCAAGCCTTGGTTTCTGCAATGGAACAACTCTACAGTTTGGGAGCTTTGGATGAAGAAGGGCTCTTGACCAAATTGGGGAGGAAGATGGCTGAGTTTCCTCTGGATCCACCTCATTCAAAGATGCTTCTTGCTAGTGTGGATCTTGGTTGTAGCGATGAGATACTGACCATGATAGCTATGCTTCAAACACAAAACATATTTTACAGACCAAGGGAGAAACAAGCCCAGGCTGACCAAAAGAGGGCAAAATTTTTCCAGCCAGAAGGTGATCACTTAACCTTGTTGGCTGTTTATGAGGCATGGAAGGCCAACAACTTCTCCGGACCATGGTGCTTTGAAAACTTTGTTCAATCTCGTTCATTGAGAAGGGCACAGGATGTCAGGAAGCAGCTCCTAACCATCATGGACAGGTACAAGTCTATTTTCAAATTGCCCGTTATGAATAGCTAGGAATTTAATTGCTTTTTGTTAGATTTTGTCTTAATAAATTATAGTTTCATGAACGTGGCGGTGATATTTATAGTAATTATAGGTATAGAATAAGATGATTTAATGATTTTCTCTTTTGGAGCCACTTCAGTGCTTTTGTGAATTGTGATCATTTATCTAGTTTTCTGCTTTTGTTACTGTTCCATTGGATCTTCTCTATGGAGATGGATGAACCTTATACATTGATTTCGTTTTGTTTAACCTTTCTGTTACCCTTTGTAGGACTTTTTTCTTTCTATTTCACATGTGACATGATGGGGCTTTGTTGAATTTGCCAGCAGTATTTGTATTTTCCTGCTTAAAATCCTTGCCATGTCTCAAGTGCAACTGATAAGCAATATTCCATTTTTTAGAAAATGCATCTTTTACTTCCTTTTTTTTGAAGTATCAAGTGACTGACTCTTCTTACTCATTAATTTCTTTTTATTTGTCTATTTCCTTTTTTCATCTTTTGGATGCCAAATCCTTTTCACTTTCCTGCTGCTGATCTGTGAACAATGTCTTGCACAGGTATAAATTGGATGTTGTAAGTGCTGGAAAAAATTTCACCAAGATAAGAAAGGCAATTTGTGCGGGGTTTTTTTTCCATGCTGCCCGAAAAGATCCTCAAGAGGGCTACAGGACCTTGGTTGAGAACCAACCAGTTTACATTCATCCAAGCAGTGCGCTATTTCAGAGGCAGCCTGATTCGGTCATCTACAATGAGCTTGTCATGACGACAAAGGAATACATGAGGGAAGTTACTGTTGTTGACCCGAAATGGCTAGTTGAGCTTGCTCCTAGATTTTTCAAAGTTGCTGATCCTACAAAGATGAGCAAGCGCAAGCGTCAAGAACGTATTGAGCCCCTTTATGATAGATACCACGAGCCTAACTCATGGCGTCTAAGTAAAAGGCGTGCTTAATTTTGTGGCAAGGTATACATTGTATTCTATTTTTTCCTCTTTTTGTAATAGCAGTATATTTCCAATTTTCCCCTCTGGAGATTGAATTGAGGTTGGAATTGTTTGGATCTTATGAAAAGAAAATTTTGGAATTGTTTGGAAATCTGAAGGTTCAACGTAACTTTAATTTGCTTAACATGTCCCATGCTTGGCCTGAATGTGGTGAACCTTAATGCTTATGGATTGAACATTTATATGCGTCTTTTGTACTTCTTGTACGTTTTCAGTTACCTTGAAATTTTGCCATTTTCACATCTCTCATCTGATGGTTGTGCTTGATTCAATGTACTGAACGAAGATATAATGTAAATGTAAACTACACAGGTATCCTTGATTGCTGCTAGTACTTGTCATCCTCTTATCAACTTGGCGATGGCCTTAGGAGGCTGGGGACCACTTACTTTTATTACATCCTCTGGAGACTCTTGAAGAGAGAATCTTTAGGGGGACTGAGCGGAAGAATGGGTAAGAATGTGCAATGGGGAGAGATCATTTTTGGCGAAGTTCGAGGAGGTTCACCTTAATCAAGTTGGGAATTTGGGACTGCGGACCCTGCCCCCTTTCAAATAATTGAAGTAGCTAATCCAGATACTTAGCTGAAAAAGAGAAAGACATGGTTTCTTGGATCTGATACATGGTGGAACAAGGCAAAGTGCTGATCTGATACATGGTGGAGCAAGGCAAAGTGCTAGAGATTGGCTTCTTTGTAAGGTCGACATTGGTTTGAAATATTGGAAGGCAAAGGACTTCAGGCAAAGGAGGTTGTTGACTCTGGTGTGTTGCTTGTCTACAAAAATGAAGATTGTCCTGAGAAATCTTCCTTTTGGAGAGAATGTGGTATGGTTGTAGGGTTTGTTACTTTTTATTACTAGTTAATACTCAAGGAGAATGAAGAAAATTGTAAGAGTATCTCTAACGGTGGTCTGGAGGTTCTTGTACTTTATCAAGTTCGATCTCAATCAATCCCAGGTATGGTGAGCTGAATTTGTCATGATTTATGATATCCAATAATAGTGTTACCCCTTTTTTTTTGGGTGAATTATTGTCATATCTTAGTATGTTGCAGAACAGTTGGTTGCTGATTCAGAAGGTTCCAATAGTCTTCTGCACAAAAAGAAAAGAGGTTCTGCAATCTTAAATCTGATATTGGTGGAATTTAACAGTTATCTTTCGTTGAAAATTCTGAGTTCTCATATATTGGGATTTGTTAATTCTACAGTTGTATTTTTTTCACCTTGTTGTGTACCATATTGTTTCTGCGCCAACCATCACATTCGATAATGGTCATGCTTTCTGTCTATTGTTATCGAAGCTTGAGAAATTTACGTGTATACCCCCAATTTACTGTTTTTTTTTATAGTAATTATCCAAAATTTTGCCGTTATTTTATGTGTACCCTTTTTTTAACCAAATTACCCATATTTCGGTTCTATGATATCCGAAATTTAGTAAGACAGGTTTGTAAAATCGATTTCGAAGATTGAACTTTAAATAATCCAATATTTCCAGAATTTTGTGTGCCTAGAAGAAGCTTCGAAAGTTTTGAATTTACAAAATTCAAAATTTCCATAAAGTTAGATTCTGAAAATTTTAAGGGGGATTTTTTAACAAAAATATTTAGGGGACATATGCGCAATATTCTCAGACGTTTCTCTTAAGTTTCTACCTCTATTGAGGTTCAGGCTTTTTCTTGTTCAGGCTTGGCTAGAAACATGGTTTGAATTTTAAAGTCCTTTTTTTTTTGAGGGAACAAATATGGCTTGCTCTAACATTTCAAAGAAAAATTACTTATTAAGGAAGTAATTTGTGAATTTTGCCTACCTTTTAAGAAACCCGTTGAAATTAGACGTGCAAGTCCATAAAAAACCATTATTTTATGATTACTTGTAGAAAATCCAATAAAAAATATTTATGTATGAATATATTCAGAGTGGGATAAAGCTGGAATTACATTCAAAAAGTGGTGGTTTCTTCTTTCATGGGGTCTTTGAGCACTTGCAATTCCAGAACATTTCAATCTGGATTTGAGAAAAGTGACCTTTTTTATGTAGAAAATGCCTCACTTGTTTTTCTAGGTTTTATGGTTTCACAAATTTTATACTCCACATTTGAGAAAAGTGGCTATTTTTTTGGAGAAAATGATTCTTATCTATTTTTCAAGATCTGAATTTTTCGTCTTGAATTTTTTGACTTAAAAATTGAAGAAAATATTAGTTTTGGGTACCACTAATCATTTATATTTGTCTGCATTTTTTTAGTTGGTTAAACAAGTTCTCTTTTGCCAATGTTCACTCAAAAAACTGGAGTGATCTTTTTTCTGGATTAAATATATTCAGTTTGAGCTTTTCAATTATTTATCATTAGGATTGTTCTGATTTTTCTTTTCCTACTTTCTTTCACCTAAAACTAGAGGACATCAGTTTTCTGGCACAGTTTCTGTTTTCTTCATAATTAAAACCAGAGATGGCATCACTATTGTATGCATAAAATGAATGGTTGGAAGGTGATTAGAAATGTGTCATGGGAAAGCTTTTTATGTTTTCCCTACAACATAGAAGTTCTATCTTTCTTTTACCATCCAACCGTCCCATTTTTATCAAGAGAGTCACTCACAGTATGATCTTAGATCCAATGTCTCAAAAGTATTTTATTTTTAATTTTTTTTAATCCAATTTTTCTGAATATGAAATTTGGTATGTGTCATCTTCTCATTGGGGCGCATTTATAAAAAAATATTAACAATAAATTTTCGATAAAAAATAATGATCAAAATACCTTTTGAAATTTTTGGGGGTATTTTGGTAATTTTATTTAATTGAAAATATTTTTTTTTTTATTTTTTGTTAGTGCGAGTTTAATAGAAGAATGGACGTTCAAAATTTGGAGTCAAAATAGTTTATAGAAAAAAAATTAAAAATAAAATAGTGTAGAGACGTGACGTTGTGATTGGGGCAATCTTAACCCTCTATTAAAAAATGGACTAAGAGGAATATTGACAGCTTTCCCATATGTTATTTACCAGACAAGATATAGACAGCTTTCCCATATGTTATTTACCGGACAAGATGTCCAAAATAAATTTATCGAATATTGGGATATATTTTTAAGTTGTTGTATACTAAAAGATTGTGACGTATCCGAAGTGTGCTCTTCTATTATATATAATCCATTTTCTTTTTGTTGAGCATTTCTTTCAATGGGTACCTGCCTTTAATTTTTAACAGTGTGAAAGTTGTTGATTCTGATATATTCTCTCTCTCTCTCAAGATATTGACCATCCCTGTCTCTAAGTTGTCGATTCGGAGACAAATCCTCTCTCTCTTTCTAGATATTGGCTCTCTCTTTCTCTAGATATTGGCTCTCTCTCTCGCTCTCTAACTAAGTTGTTGATTCTGATATAGATCATGTGTGTGTGTAAGTTGTTGATTCTGGTATAGCCCATCTCTCTCTCCTTTTCACATGCAAGGAAGAAAATTTGCTCCTATTTTACATGCGTTTGGATTATTACTTTGAAAATTTTCCACCCAACCAAATTTATACCGGTTCAAATTGCAAACCAGAGCCATTTGGTCTGTTTATCAGTTTAAATTGCAAACCAGAGCCATTTAGTCTGTCCAAAATGATTAGAATTTTGATAGTTGAAGCACATTTATCATGTACATAATTGAGATAGGGAAACAAACGGTGGTCTCACAGGTTAATCTAATGCCATTGTCTGTCTGATTTCGCCTAGGAGCAATGAAACGGTGCAGATTTGATGATCTTTGAAGAATACAATATTAGCCACTTTTAAGACCTGTAATTAAAAATTGTGGGAGTTCAGAGGATAGACCTACAAATTGTGATGAGCGTGAATAGCATGCTCCCTCAAGAGCACAATGTATAATAACACCCTCGGGTAAAACAGCTAATCAATAGGATTTCATTGCTTCAAAAACTTAGTATTCATATAAGGGATTGTATACTATGTAACCATCTATATTTGGTATAAGGAGGTCACAATGATGTGAAATCCAATAGAAGAAAATATGTCATAACTTTTGAAAAATTTTATTTTGGACTTTGTACTTAAATAATGACAAATTTTAACCACCCGATATGAAATCTAATTGCCAATGATGATTGTAATCGCCTTGTATCAAAAGTAACATTCCCTTCATTTCTAAATATCACTGAATACCAAGTGATATTTCAAATACCTAAAAGATATTGACAATCATGAAATACTTAAAATAGATTATTTTATATATTTAGGATCAATAATCCAGGAGAACATAGAAATTAAGTAAGATGCTGCCTATAAAATTAGAGTTTCGTAGGAAAAATGGAGATGTGCATTGAAGTTTTATGTGATCACCGTTTCCATTGAGAGTGAAGCGAAAATTCTATAGGATGGATCTAATACCGGCTATGCTTTATAAGGCAGAATGTTGGTGGCCAAGAAACAACATATCCATAGCATGAACATAGCTTAGATGAGGATGTTGAAATGGACGAGAGACAAGACAAGAAAGCTTAGAATTCAGATTGAAGAGGGAACCGAGGTATGGCTTTAATAGACGATAAGATGAAGGAAAATAGATTTAGGTGAGCTAGCCATGTATAACGTATACCTAATTAAGCATATATTAGGAGGTACGATTTGGTTCAAATAGAAAACTCTAAAATGTCAAAAGGAATTCTTAAAAGAACTTGGATAGAAGTAGTAAGAAAAAATATGGGATTTTTTTACCTTACTTAAGGTATGGCCCTTGATAGAAAAAAAACGTAAGAACAAAATTCATATAGCCAACTCCAATTAATTAGAATAAGGCTTCGATGATAATGATGTGATCTAAATACCACTAAACAATGATTTTTAAGGGAAAAAAATTTGGAACTTGAGTTTTTGACCCCTCAAATTAGATGGTTCATTGCAATCTTCGGACGTCATTTTTTTTAGCTACATAGGGACTACCAGTTAATTTTCTTTCATTGAAGCAAATCGCTAAACATCCCCTTAATATCGGATCTAAAAAAATATTCATAGGAGTTTTGTTCGACGGTTAGATAGATAATATTACTGTAATAGCATATAATATGCTCCCACAAGAATATAGTGTATATCTACTCCCTTAGTTAGAAGATCTACTTGGGAGGTATTTAACCACCTAAGCATAATTAGATGATTGTTATTAAAATAAAAAATTTGAATGTTGAGTTTTTTAACCCTAATCCCACCATCTAAATATTAGATGCTGTATTCAGGCTCAAGGCAAAAAAAAAAATTTCAAGTATATAGATAGGGTAATTGGGAAAAAAATAATTTATTGAGGTTAATATATAGGTTGAAAAGATTACATTCCCAAAATTAACGTCTTAAAATTAATCATAGAAGAGGTTTTACCAATGGAAGTGAAGGCCGTATACTCCCTCCGGAGCCTAATATCTTTTTGGCTATAATTCTTGGCCCTTTATCTTCTCTCCTGACTTTCGAACATTGCTTTACGTGCAGGAATTGATCTGAACAAGTTGCCGTTGCTGACTCATACGGCGCACCTCTAAATTGTATCATAATATGTATTTTTGGTGTAATAAATTCTTAAGATTATATGAAAATCTATTTTTATATTTAATTATAAAATTTTAAACTAAAAAAATGGTTTAAATCAAGTAGATCTATAAACATATGAAAATCTCAAAAGTGGACGGTTTAAATAATGTGTTGTAAGATGCATTATTTTTTAGACTCAAAATAATTTTTTTTTCATATTCATCTATCTCGATGTCAAAATGATCAATTAGAGAGTTTTTCAATATTAAAACAACTTTTTTAAATAGATTTTTGAGGTGCATCTTTACTGAGAAAAAAATGGAATCATTAGAATAAAGGGGGCGTAAGAGAATCGAGACAAAAAAAGGTGTGGGCTAAATCAAACTCAAATGATGTTCAATTAAATAATGTGAGTTCATATTAGTATAAGATTCAGTTGAATCCCATTAGGGCTTGGACTTTCATCTCGTGGTAATTGTGAGTGACATTATTAAATATTGTTAAAATTCAAATTGTAGTTACTTCTCACCAAACTCTCAAAAGTTTATCTCATGAAATATCACAAAATCTGAAATATTCTCAATCTACTAAAGGTTCTTTGAAAAAATATGACTACATCCTATCCACTCTCACCTAGTAGCACCCAGTAGAGCTAAATTTTTATCTTTAAAAGGTCGCCAACATTGACTTTACTTTTCGATAGTGAGGTGGTGTGTGTGTATATTATATGGTTACTTCCTCATGCACAAATATGAGAAGCTTTTCTCATTTTGAAATCTTGGAATCCATCTTAGAGTTACTGATGAGTATGTTTTCAAAATACCAATAATAAAAAATTGGATTTTGAGTTCCATCGTCATCACGAGTGCTTTATCTTAACTATTATATGAATCACGTTATGCTATTTTGGTCCATCAATCTATTAACTCTCACACTTAAAAAATTGGATGGTTTGGCACACATGATTGTCTTCCTTTTTCTCTTTTTTTTTTTTTTTTAAAGTTAGTTGCTAAAAGAAGTTATGTCCACATTAGTGGTGACTATGGGTCAGGTTAGGTTCAGGTCAAGCCCGACCTAGGCACAAGTGACTTGGACCAAGAGCCGGGTTGGGTCCATACCGTTTGGACCAGGATCCAAGTATAGCAATTGAAAAAAAAAAAAAATTTATTTTAGATAATGTATATATTTTATACTAGGTCAGGTCTAACCCAATTCAACCTGATAGGGTCCAAGAAGGACCCATACCCAATTTGGGTTTGTCCCAAGTCGTTTAGACCCAGACCCGACCCACCAAGTCCAAAACATGGACCCTGATATGGTTCAGGTCGGCGGGTCGTACCTACCTGATTGCCACCCCTAGTCTCCAAAATTTGAGGTCCTTCAAGTTCTACCCAAAAACAGTGAATGTCGGAACTGCTCCAGGGGAGCACATCCTCTTTTGGCATATAGATTTGGCTGATTAAACTTTAGAAGAAATTTGGGATATAAGCTTTGAAATAAAAGGATGGAAGTTGTTGGGTCAAATAAGGTGGACAAAGTCAGAGGTCCACCAACCTTGTCCTTTAGGCTGAGGAAACCCCACCAAATCCTGTTTCCCAGCACCCAGATTTCACTAAAACCATCTTTCCAGGATGCACAACCCAACTACCCCTCCTCTCTTTCTCTCCTATATAAACCACCTCTACTACACAAAGCCCTCAAAACATACTTGGATTCCCCCTCAACCCACAATCCTTGAAGCCCTCTTCCTCTCAGAATGAAGCCCACATTCTTCATTCCCCTCATCTTCCTCCTCTTGTCCCAATTCCTACCTCTGAACCTCTCAATTGCACTCTCCCTCTCTCTACTCCTCTTCTCTATCTTCAAGTCCAGCGCTAGGGACTCCAACCTTCCACCCGGCCCGCTCGCCCTCCCCCTCTTCGGCAACTGGCTCCAAGTCGGGGACGACCTCAACCACCGCTTCCTTGCGTCCTTGGCCCAAAAGTACGGCAACGTCCTCCTCCTAAAGCTCGGCTGTCGGAACCTCGTAGTGGTCTCCGACCCCCAGCTCGCGACCCATGTCTTGCACACACAAGGCGTCGAGTTCGGGTCCCGGCCGAGGAACGTGGTCTTCGACATCTTCACTGGCAAAGGCCAGGACATGGTTTTCACAGTCTATGGTGACCACTGGAGAAAGATGCGTCGTATAATGACCTTGCCTTTCTTCACAGCCAAAGTGGTTCAAAACCACAAGGAAGAGTGGGAGAATGAGATTGATTTGGTAGCAAGAGATTTGGAAAAGGATTCTAGGGTGAGAGAGGAAGGGATAGTGATTAGAAAGAGGTTGCAATTGATGTTGTATAACATTATGTATAGGATGATGTTTGATTATAGGTTTGAGGCCATGGATGATCCTTTGTTTTTGCAAGCCACAAAGTTCAATGCTGAGAGGAGCCGTTTGGCACAGAGCTTTGATTACAATTATGGAGATTTCATCCCCTTGCTTAGGCCATTCCTTAGGAGTTATCTCAACAGGTGCAAAGATTTGCAGAGCAAGAGGCTGGCGTTTTTCAACAATTACTTTGTTGAAAATAGAAGGTAAGCCATCATTAGTTTCATTATAATAAATGGTATATGAAATTGAAAAAAAAAAAAAACCTTTTGAACTTATTCTAACCTTTTGGATGTAAGTGTTTAACATGTTGCTAATTTTGAAAGTAATATCCAAAAGGCGGTCAGTTTTAAATGTGGCCTTATTTTTATTTACATGGGGATGAGCCTTTGTGGGATCTCAATTTGAGTGTGTCCTTCCTATTTATTCATCAGCTTTCTTTATTTTGTTGTTTTCTTGAGAAATTTATTAGTCTATACTTCAGATTTGAACTATTTTGAACCTGTTTTTTAATCTAATTTCAAATAGCTCATCATTCTTTTGATTAAAGTTTAGGGAAGGTTTTATCAAAATACGCCAAACTCATCAACTACTCAACAATTTACTCGTTTTCAAATATTCCAACTTGTGATCATGTCAATTTTGATTGTATTTTGAAACTAAATGAAAAGATATTGACAAATGCTGAATAGGGCATCTTTTAGGTACATTTTGATCAATTTCCAATTTCCAATTTCCAATCGTCGCTCGACACATCAAAGTGGGCTTTGAAATTTATCACATTACACCCAGGACAAATATTAAATTATTCAACTTTTAGGTAAATTTCCATATTCTTCCTTTTTAAAAAAATTATATTCATTCAACATTTGTTTGTGTGTGTGCAGGAAAGTAATGGCTAAGAATGGTGAAAGGCATCAGATAAAGTGCGCTATCGACCACATAATTGAAGCTGAGAGGAAAGGGGAAATCACTAGTGACAATGTTCTTTACATTGTGGAGAACATCAATGTGGCCGGTGAGCACGACAAATCTCTCTCTCTCTCTCTCTCTCTCTCTCTCTCTCTGTTTAATCCTAGTGGTCTTTTTCAATGAAGAAGAATCCCTCTCTCACTCATGGCTAACTATTTGTTCCTCTTTGCAGCCATTGAGACCACCCTGTGGTCCATGGAGTGGGCGCTGGCCGAGCTCGTGAACCACCCCCGGGTCCAAGCCAAGCTCCGCCACGAGCTCTCGACTGTCCTTGCCGGAAAACCCGTCACCGAGTCCGATCTCGACAACCTCCCTTACTTGCAAGCTGTGGTAAAAGAGAGCCTCAGGCTCCATACCCCAATCCCCCTCTTGGTCCCCCACATGAACCTTGAGGAAGCAAAACTTGGAGGGTACACAGTCCCAAAAGAGAGCAAGGTGGTGGTTAATGCTTGGTGGCTAGCCAATAATCCAGCTTGGTGGCAAAATCCCCAAGAATTCAGGCCCGAGAGGTTCTTAGAGGAAGAGAAGAAGACTGAGGCATTGGTGGGGGGCAAAGTGGACTTCAGGTTTTTGCCTTTTGGAATGGGCAGAAGAAGTTGTCCTGGAATCATACTGGCTTTGCCAATTCTTGGTCTGGTTGTTGGAAGGCTAGTGAGTGAATTTGAGTTGCTTCCACCTCCCGGAGCCGAGAAGGTGGATGTTAGCGAGAAGGGGGGCCAATTCAGCCTCCACATTGCGAACCACTCCACCGTAGTGTTTCGACCTCTGGAGGCCTGAACCAGTACTCTGAAACTCGGCCGAGTCCGATCACAAATTATAAGGAAGTAGTAGAGTTTGTTGCCCGTGAATTCTTTGCATTTGCATCTCCCATTGTCTCTGTTTCATGTTGAGGTTCCCTTATTTATTTATTTTCAGACTTATTTGATATGTGGAAAGGTGTAAATCCTTTTGATAAGACAAAGAAATAAAAAGTGCAGTGATTTATATTCTTCTTTTGAAACAGTTGTAATTTGGATATGAAAATTTAACAGGTCAATAATCTTGAATGCTACGATCATAAATTAATCTTGAGTACTGGGTAGTACTACGATCATATATGTGGAAGAAACAAAAAAAATATAAAGCTCAAGAAAAAACTATTTTAAATTTTGTCTTTTGGATTTCGATTTTTCTTTGCGCACACCTGATTTGCACTACCATTTGAGCTGCAAAATTACGGATCTAAACAATAATGGACCGTAAGAGATTAAGGATATGTTTGAGACCCTAGTCCATCTCAAAGTCCAAAATAATAGTCTCATCTATTGCTTTAAATTCGTAATTTCTTATCCAGATCACCGAGACAAATACATCATTTCTCCAAATACGGCGGACAAAGTATACATCAATCAGCATAATGCGTCTATCCCATATGCAATCTATATGTTCTTGTGCTTAATATATAGAGGTGCGTATTGCTCCCATGTAGATGCGCTTCTCCCAGCTTTGAATTTTTTTTAGGTCTTCAAAAGACTCTTGGAGCTTGTAATATGATTATTTGCACCCCAATAGCCTATGAATGAATTTTTTTTAAGTCTTCAAAAGACTCTTGGAGCTTGTAATATGATTATTTGCAACCCAATAGCCTATCATCATTTCATATCATGGTCTACAAGTAAGCATTCTAAGACTACACAAACGCCTCTTTTGTTCCCTTGTCTACAATACTTTAACATTTTACGGCTTCTATTTTTGTGGACAAATAGCTTTTAATGTGCCATGGCTGCCACATGTGAAGTATTGTAGCGGTGCTCATTTAGTCTCTTAGTTGTAAAGCTTGGTTCCTTTAGTTTTTTCTTAAATTTTTTGTTGTTAAATTTGGATCGCTTAAATTTAAGACCTTAAGCAAGCATAAACTCACCTTTTTTTTATCTTTATTCATATGTTCTTTCTCTAAGGCTCATTACATGGATAGGTCTCCTTGACCAAGAAATTTTGCATTTAACCTGAACGCTATGATTACCATCCTCCATAAAAGTAAAAGATTGTTTAAAATGATAAAAATTTACATATACTTAAAAACTTCTTTACATATACTTAAGAAGTTCATTCCCAACATTGGCTATGTCCTTAGCTGTATTGAGCAATTTGTTTACATGGTTCACATTATCACCCTCCATTTTAAAGGAGTTGTTTTGCACGCAAATAAATTGATGGTGAGTCTTTTATATTGCATTTATTTTTTTATTTTTTTTTATTTTTTTATTTTTTTATTTTTTATTTTTTATTTTTTATTTTTTTTTGGTAATTCAATAAGGAATACAGACCCTTACTTATTTTTTTCATATAGGTTATGGAATTAACTTTTTTTTAATGTGTTAGTGAGTGATAGCAGCAGCAGAATTGAAAACAACGTGGTAATGTTACCGCCATGACCTATCCCCTTTCCTGTGTTTCTTTATTTGCCTGTATTTCTTTATTTGCCGCTAGCAACTTGTTTGTCATAATTTTTAAATACCCTAATTTTTAAGTATTACCTTAATAAGATCATCTTGCATAGATGTTAGCATCCATATCTTACATATTAGGCCTCCTAAGAATTTTTTTTATTTTCTTTTATCACCCAGTGGGTCGCCCATGATTTTTTATTATTTTTTATCATAAATGATGAGATATTACATTTTTCTCTACAACAAATTATCTAGACCGTCTATTTTCAAAATTTTCAAGTGTTTATAGATCTACTTGATTTGAGCCATTTTTTAAGTTTAAGATTTTCTATTTAGAAATGAAAATAGATTTTCAAGCATTCCTAAGATTTTTGAACACCAAAATTATGTGTATGATAAAATTTGGAGGTGCCTCTTAATTAGATTATTTAAAGTTGCAACCTTATACAAACCACACTTTCTTTTCCTTTTAACATTATAAAATGTTAGGTAAAAGCTTCTATGCATTTACTAATTCAACGTAAATATTTTTACATGGAGCGGTATCGGTTACTATTTTGAGTAAATATTTTTACATGGCATTTATTTGTGGAATTTTGCATGAAGTCCTTTCTAGTTTTTAATACATTGCTTTTCAATATTTTTAGAAACTTAGTATAACATCTCTTTCAATATGGGAGCATCTATCTTCATGCCACTGCACAAATATTTGTCTTTCTATTGTGAGAGAGACTCCTCAAAAATCTCCTCTAATGTAGACTCTATCCACACCTCTTTCCTCTCTCCCTTCCCAAAAATCTCCCTCACTATCAAATATATGGGTGTATCTGTACATAAGACTATCCTAAAAACATGGTTTAAAGCATAGAAAAGTACCCCATACAGATTATTATAAGTTTTTCTAATTTTACGGTATTTACCCTATGTTTCTCTGAAGACCCATGTTACTTTTACTACATGTGTCCACCCTTTAACTCTAATTTAATAATGTAATTTAGATAGTATAAAATTTCACATTGTTTTAGAAAATCACTTTTATATGTAGTCTTAAAAAGTATGTCAATTCTAAACCGTTCAGGTAAAATAGATTATTTAAAATGTTGCAATTTTATTTCTACAAGTAAAATTACAATGTTATTTAAACTGCACCTTTATAATGTAAAAAACCCTTATAATTTAAGAAACGGTGTGGTTTCTATAAAGTTGCAAGCTTAAACAATCCAATTAAAGCGTACCTCCAAATTTTATCATATATAATTTTGATGTAAAAATTTCTTAAGATTATCATATAATATATATTTGTTTCCAATTATATAATTTTAAACTTTAAAAATAGTTAAAATCAAATAGATCTATAAACATACAAAAATCTTCATAATGGATATAGATAATGCGTTGCAAGATGTGTTATTTTTTATATTCAAAATCTTTTTTTTTTTTCATATGCATACATCTCGATGTCGATCAATTAAAATATTTTTCAACATTAAAACAACCTTACAACCTTATATAATCCTTTGCCTTTTAAGAAATGTATATAGTAAAATTTTATTTTTTATACCAGGAAAAGAAATGTATATAGTAAAATTTTATTTTTTATACAAGGTCACGAATATAATTGACCTTAGATCACTTTGGTTGGTGATACATCACTAGTTGAGAACAAAGTCCCAACATAAAGTTCTCAAAAATTGCGATGCACTCAATTTCACATACATTGCACATACATTTATAGTCTATTAAATATAATTACTTACAAATTGTATTTCCTGATTTATATTTTGAATAACATTTTAAAAAACATGATAAATACCAAAAAAAAAATTATATAAAACCAAAGCACCCACCTCCAAAATTTCACTAGAAAATATCAATTAAATGCCCAAATATCCTCAAATTGATCATCTACACATCACATCAAGATACATGGACATAAAAAAAAACAAATAAATTTCATGTTTACATAATAGTACATCTTGTAATGTACTTTTGAATCCTTAATTTTCAAGATTTTCAAATTTTCATTGATCCGCTCGATCTATATTATTTTTTTTTCTTTAAATTTTATAATTAAAAACAAAAATACATTTTAAAACTATGACAAATATATACAATATTGAAACCACATTTATCTGCGTTTTACTTTGACCACACCCAATAAGTATTGACACACACACTGAGTGGCAAACTCAGAAAGGTCAAAGGTAACGAGCATTGACACCTGTAAACACCTCGATCAAATATCAATCGTCTGTAAAATCGATGTCTCGAGTATCAAACAAAGTCGGAAGTTATTCATAAGAGATTAAGACAAAAAACAGCGGGTAGAGACCTCGTACAAAATCACAGCCAATTTTCCAACAAAGGCACCAGGATTTTCCAAAATTTGAGGCGCACATAGAGCTCAAATTGAATTCACATGGATTACAAAAGAGAAGATTTCAATATTTATATTAATCTAAGCTAGTGAATGGGTCACAAATAAGATGATAATAAAAAAAAAAACACGGGTCCTAGAGAGATTGCCACGGGGTTAGTGATGTAAAGCCTGGAACAAATTCAAGAACACTTGAAGAAAGATCACGTTATCAGAAAGCTTAGAAATCCGTGTTTTTTCATGCATGAAGTCTCCCAACATCCTTTTTATAAGGAAAGTTGAGAGTCCAACGTTCCTATTCTGCTTCGAAAAAAGAGAGAGCACTTCAGAAAATAAATAATTATATATAAATGAAGTGCGTCCTGAGCAAATTTTTTCTCATATCCCCAAATATTTATCAATAAAAGTAAACATTATAAGAGACTTTGAAATGGGTGAGAAAATTTTCAATTTCAAATAAAATATATGTTGAATAAGATAAGGACTAGATTAAAAGTGGCCTTTCAATCTCAACCCAAGGGAAGTCAAAAAGTATAACTAAGCCATAGCCATGGCTACATAAGTCATAACTCAAGAGTAGAGGTACAAAAATGGCCTTTTCACTTCCAAAAAAAACACGAAGCCTTAAGTAAGCCCATTCTCACAAGCACCCCAAAAGACACCATGCACTCCTATAAACCCGGCTGCACACCTGACTAAACAACTACCTACACACATGACTATAATTACAAAACTATGGTTTTTCGTTTTCCTGGGGATAGACATCACGGATTCATCAAGCCCAAGTGCCTTCCAAAAGGGGCTTAACAGACACACTGTCACCAAACATCTTTATGATATCAGAAAAAGCAGTATTTTGTGGAACCTCAGGCTTAAGCTCTAGACCAAGCTCTTCTTCTATGTCATCAGAAGCCCCAATTAAGAGAAATTCACATCGTTCATAGTTGAGGAAGTCGGGTGGGTCTGCCGGTGCGTAGCGCCGATTACCGAAGTTTTCTTGGAGGTGTGCAGGGAACATGGGTTTCCTCTCACTCTGCAGTCCGACTGATGGTGGTGATGGCTGCTCTGGGTTCTTTATTTGGATCACAAATGAAGCCTCACTCGCTATGTTGAGTGACTCTTCAGCCTCGCGTTTGTCACTTTGAGAAGGCATCTCGAGCTTGTATATCAAGTGGGTGTGGACCTTGTTCTTCGATTTGTGCCAGACTATGCGGTATATGCCTTCACCAACGGCTCGTGCTGCGGGTTTGTGGCGCCGCCCCCTCGTTGCTGTCTCATGTTCCTCTTTGCAATACAAATAAAAAAAGGTTGTTCATGGACAATGTGTGTGTACTTCATGTGGATGTGGATGTGGAGAAACACGGAATGCGTGCATACTTGCATGATTCTTTGTGTGGGCAGGCAGTCGTGTCTACGAGAGAGATGCATTTGATTCGGCATGTACGCATATATGCATGTTTTTTCAGAGAGACCTCTCTCTCCGAAAGAGAGACGTCTCTCATCTTCAAAAAACAAAAAACAAAAAACCTCTCCTCTCATCTTCAAAAAACAAAAAACAAAAAACCTCTCCTCCTCTCTATAGAGAGAGGAGTGAAATAGGAGCGTGCTTATAACCGTTATAGTACCTCCACTTAGAGCATTCTTAACATCTTCAAGTTTGTGGTCACCATCTCTACAAATCCCCAATTAGGCTGGCCCCGGCCCACCTTCCTAGGATCCGGAAGTCTTTTCCGACCCAGAACAATGAATCGGAACAATGGTTGCTGCTCGATATTCACTTTCTTTACACAAAGAAAATATCACATTTTTAGTATGGAATCACCAAAATAATACAACCGCAAGCAACCCAACTAAATTCCAAGAAAGTTCAATAATACAACCAGAAGTCACCAATATAAGTTCCCAAACCAAAAAATAAAAAAGTCCTATAAATAAAATAAAATTCAAAATAACTTTTTTAATATTGGATCCCCACAATTAAACTAGAAATGCAGATACAAAATTCCAAAATAAGAAATAGGATTGTATGCTACACCAAGGCCGTCAACCTTAAGGATCACCTACACCAATTGAAATCTGACAGCTCGAGGGTGACACAGCTTTCAAATTTTTTTCTTTTTTTTTTTTTTTCTCTCTTTTTTTTGGGGCCCAATTATAGAAACCCGTAGCCGTCGAACAGGTAAAAGTTAATTGTGACTTCACGATGGGCCAAAGTCAATTTCATGCGGCGGGCGTTTCCTTTTCATTTCTGGTTTTTTCATCCATTAGGACCAAATATGGCTAACTTACAGCGACCTGTACTGTCCTTAAGCCGAGGTTGACCTCGCCCGACCCGATGCCCACCTACCCTAACTTCAACAAAACGGGGTTCATAGTCATTTTGAACCGGGCAAGCGATTATGGTGTGGTTTGAATAAGGTGCCTCTCGTTTGATTGAATTAAGACCCTCCTAAATTCAATTTTTGGTGAGATGTAATTCCGATATCAAAAACCTCGCTGTTCGAAAGTCATCTTTCCATAAAATTTAAGTTCTCAAACAGCGCACATCGAGCTTATTTTTAAATTGGAAGGTTTTTCAAAATCAGACTAGAGAATTTTTCCTTTGGAAAAAAAAGAGGTATTAGTGCTAACCTCACTGCCATGTCCACCTCCAGTTGAAGTTGAGCCTCTTCTTTCACGTTTAATTTTCTTGGCCCCTTCTTTGCCGGAATGAGAGGCTTGTTTCTCTTCGACATTTCTCTCTGCTGATTCTGGCCTCAAAACCACATATAACCTCTGCACGTCGTCCACGCTGTGTGCCTCTTCCTTGTTTACCTTGGGCCTGTAAAAGAAGAATATCTCTCCTCTTTCCTATACAAACACACAAAAAAGTTCAATAATCTCTCTCTCTCTCTCTCTCTCTCTCTCTCACACACACACACAAAACGACAGAGGTTAGGAGTAACCAGAATCTGGATTTGTGAGGCATGGGGCCTAGTCTTGTATTCTTCTCCTTGTCCCATTTCCTTTCGCGTCTCCAACCAAACGACTTCCCTGCTTTGCTTTACTAGAGAGAGAGAACTTTCATGTAAGAGAGAGAGAGGTCATGGGATGTTTCAGAAAGCAGAACAAGAAAGATAAAAAGGTCAAATTCGGGACGTTAGAACATGCCGGAAAAGACACTTGTAAGCCGGAAAATGTCCATGGTATAAACGTGTCAAATGTGGAAAGTTCGACAACATTTGGGATTGTATAGCATAGCCAGGTCACAATTTTTAACTGCTACCTGTAAATATGACAGCTTAAAATCTCATATAGTTTAAAACTTCAAATAATTATACTTTTGGGTAGCTTCTGGTAAATATGACAGCTTAAAATCTCGTACAGTTTAAATAATTATACTTCTGAATATTATGTACAATGGCAAATCCTCAGCAAACCCCTTTTCGCATCTGAGGACTGATAATGGCTGTGATTTCTACGTACTAAAAAGAATAATCGTATTGTATATATTTCCGCAATATAGTATTTCATATATGTTCACAATTTTGGTGTCTAATATGTGGGACTGAAAAGTTAGTGCTTATCCGATATGTTTATATAGCAAATAAGTTTATAACTTGAAATATATAAGTAACTTTATTTCTAGAAGAAAAGTTGTAATAATATGTACTTTTTAGTTAATTTGGATAGTATAAAATATTATATTTTCTTTGAAAATGTGTTATTTTTTTGAGAAAATTATATACATATCCGTTATACTTTACGTTATTATGGATGTACCAAATAGTTTTTCATTATTATATGTATGTCCGTTTTTTACCATTTATAACTTAATTTTTTTAAAAAGATGATTTTAACTCTTTTCGGATGTTGAACATCCGAAAATAGGCCGAAAGTGTAATCTTCACATTCCCATTTTTTGGTGTTGAACATCCGAATTGAAGGGTTTTTCGGATGTTCAATATCCAAAAATAGCCCGAAAGTGTTTACATTCCTATTTTTCACATTTCACAATGATATTTTCGGATGTCCAGCATTCAAAGCCATTTTCGGACGTTAAACATCCAAAAATGTCATATTTTCGGATGCTCAACACCCAAAAATGGGAATATGAACTTTTGGCCTATTTTCTAATGTTCAACATCCGAAAAAGTTTTAAAAAAGGGTATATATGTGATTTTTGGATGTTCAACATCGGAAAAGGGTATGTATGTAATTTTCAAATGTTCAACATGCGAAAAAAGGTAAATTTATCTTTTTAAAAAAATTGCCTTATAAAAGATAAAAAACAAACATACATGTAATAACAAAAACTATTTGGTACATCCGTAATAACGTAAAATATAACGGCTATGTATGTAATTTTTCCTATTTTTTTATATCGTTTTAAAAAACTTATCAAATCTACACTATTAAAATAAAATAAATGATTTAGAATGTTACAATTTTATTTCCATAAGTAATATTACAACATTATTTAAATTGCGCCCTTGTAATTTAAGAAATATATATGATAAGACCATTAGTTTTTGATATAAGAAGGTCACAAATGTTATTGACCTTTGGATGTGAAATCACTTGGTTGGAGATATATCACTCGTTGAGCACAAAGTCCAACATAAATTTCTCGAAAGTTGTGATGCACTTCAATATGTTAGATTTCACGTAAATAACTATACATATAAAAAGATTTTATAAAATAAAAGTATTTACCTTTGAAATAAAGAGGTCACAGTCACAACCATTTGATGTGAAATCTAATATCTCGAGTGTCAAAATTCGAGAAAAATTCTTTTGAAGTTTGACCTTAGTCACTGAAATAAATGCAACCATCTAATTTCACATCTAATAGTTAAGATTGATTGTGACCATCATGTGTTAAAAATAAATGATCTTATTGTATATTTTTCCATAAATAATTGTGACCTTGCATCAAAAATAAATAGTCTATTAGTATACATTTATAGTCTATAAAATATAATTAGGAAAATTGTTTCATACGGGCTGAACCGAATGATAGCATATGAAGTCCAAAAAGTGTAAAACATTCATCTTAAAGATGGATGCAAGTAAGTGCTCTACCTAAAGACCAATGAAAACTAACAGTCCGAATATTTTCTTATTAAAATTATTATTTTTAGTTTTAAAAATTTACTTATTTTTTCATATTCATGATCTCCATGTTAGAGATTACATGTACTTAAAAATTAAGTCCAAAATGTAGCCTTGACCGCATAGAAACTGGATCCATATTATTACATACATTCGAGCACAAATTGTTTACTGTAAAAGACATAATAAATATTACCATACCTTTGAGTGGTAAACAACACCAACGAATTGGAACAAGAACGCTTGTGCAACATGATGGCCAGTATGACTTTGTTAAAAAAATGACTTCTATAAACAGTGTCAATTTATACTCAAAAGTTAATGAGTAATTGCATCAGTAAACACCTTGATGAAGTATCAATTATGTGCATGTAAAATCGATGTGTCTTGTATCAATTACTTGACGCTTGGTTATAAATGAGATTCAACATTCGATCCAAAGGGGTTTTGTAAAAAAATAAAAAGCTTAAAAGTATTTTTTGCATTTTCTCAAGGGTGCAGTTGGCATACGGATGCATCCATAGCTGTAGAGGTAAAGGGCACCTTCAAATTGGCATATGGATGCATCCATAGCTGTAGAGGTAAAGGACACCTTCAAATTTTATTATGGTATATAATTTTGACGTAAAAATGTTCTTAAGATTATCTCAAAATCTTTTTTTATATCTAATTATAAAATTTTAAATTTCAAAAAATGGTTAAAATTAAATAAATCTATAAACATATGAAAATCTTGAAAATGGACGGGGTAAATAATATGTTGTCAAATACACTATTTCTAAACCTTAAAATTTTTTTATTTTTCATGATCATACATCTCGATGTCGAGATGATCAATCAAAAGGTTTTTCAACATTAAAACTACTTTTTCCGATGAATTTTTTAGATGCATCCGTAGTTCTATATTATAAGGTTGCATCCTCATATAAACTTTTTCCTTTTCTTAATGAGAAAAAAAGGAATTGTAGGCCTGATTTTTTACTCACCCAAGTCCAGGCGAGGAATACACAACTTTAAAAACTACATAAAAGAGATTCGCAGGGCATCTAGTTACTATGGACAAAGGGAAAGCTTTACATATTTCCCCTACAAGTTCTATGAAGGGAAAGCTTTCTATATTCTTTCCATATTTCCCTACAACATAGGAGTTCTACATCCCCTTTATCCAACTGTCTATTTTTTTTAATGAAAGGTTAAAATTGCCCCATCACATCTCTACACTATTTTATTTTTAATTTTTTTCTATAAATTGTTTTCACACCAAATTTTGGATGTCCATTCCTATATTAAACTCCACTAACAGAAAAAATATAAAACAAATATTTTCAATAATATAAACAAAATACCCCTAAAAGTTTCAAAGGGTATTTTGATCATCATTTTTTATCAAAATTTTATTGTTAATATTTTTTATAAGTGCTGGCACTTGCCAGATTTCATATTCAAAAAAATTGTATTAAAAAAACTAAAAATAAAATACTTTCAAACATCGGATCTAAGATCAACCATTGAGCCACTCTGATGGTAGGGAGAACATTGAATTTCTATGTTGTAGGGGAACATAAAAACCTTTTCCAAAAGTAAATACAAGCAATTATAAAACATAAATTTAATAGTCTAGAATGCACATCTGCATGTGTGCGCGCGCTCGCAAGTGTGCAAGAGAGAGAGACAGAGAGACCAAAGCAAATCAAACTAGCATTCATCATATCACATAGTTCTCCACCACGGCTCAAAAAAACCTTGTCAAAGAAAAACAAAAAAAAAAAGGGTTGTAATCACAATCCGCAAAGAACAGTAAACTGAACTCGAATTACAGAAACAAATCTTAACAATAAGGAAGAGAATGTTGCTACAAAAAGGAAGATTGTTGCTGCAAAACGCCTAGGAAGCACCAATATTTTGGGACTTGTTCAGGATAACACCCTCATACTTGACTTGGAACCATTTCATGGCATCGTCCTTTGTGACCCTGTGTTGTATGCCAACTCGCGACTTGCACCTACGGCGACGGCCCACACGATAACCGGGCCTTTCTAGGACCACGTAAAAGTCCATACCATAGATGCCAGTAGATGGGTCATACCTGTCCAAAAAACCATTTAATCGATTAACTATCAATCACTGAAAAAGCAGAGGACACCTCATCCTCACAAAGCTCAATAGATCCCCAATAGTTCTTTGTGCTTTTCACTCTTGTAGTTCTGAAACGTAGCATGCCGCTTTAGACGGCATTGCACCAAGGGGAAGTTCATTTCAACTCAAAAAATAACGCAAATTTTAGGTGAATTCCAGCCAAGTTTTGGAAGAGAACTGAACCCAGGGAACAGGAAAAATATAAAAGGTCGGATGTATGAATAGGATGACTAAGAAAAGTGAATACAACTATCATAACAAAGTTGGAAGTTACTGAAACCATCAGAGATTTAACACCAAACAGGCTGGTCGGGACTTCGTAAAAAATCACAGCCACTTTTCAGTAAAAAAACTCTAGGATTTTCCAGAATTTGAAGCATATAGGCTTCCACAATCTGAGGAAAATACCTCTTTGACCATACAGTTTCCATGGATGCAAAGCCCCATGATATAAATTGTTTCAAAGGGAAGAGAGGAATAGAGGTGTGATTCCATATACTTGGTAGAGACTGATCAATTCATTTCCAAGCAATAAAAAGAAAAGTTGTACATAAACAAGGAAAGGGAAGGGATCACCAAAAGCCGATAGGAAAGAAAATATTACTTGATTCCAAGATCGATATGCTCTTGGATACCAAAGCCAAAGCAGCCAGTGTCACTGAAATTCCTCCTCAACAATTCATACTCCTTCACTTTCAACCCGCTCTCCAAAAGCTGCATGGCTTTCTCGCCCCTAACAGTGACATAGCAAGCAATCTTCTCATTACGCCTGATCCCGAAAGATCTAACAGTGTACCTTGCTGCAACACGAAAAAGATCAAATCATACAAAATTCTTTCCAACCAAAAAAGCATTGGCTACAACTTCGACTTAAATAGCAAAGCGTACCCTTCGAGAACACTGGAGTCTGCCCACTCAACTGTTCCAAGACCTATCAAAAATAGAATTTAATCTGGCACAGTTAAACAATCGCAATGCTAAACAAAGATGACAACATCTTACAATGATAATCTGAGATTTAGACAAAAAGGAGAGCCTTGAATCATGTTAACTAACCAGAAGAAGCCCAAAAAAAAAAGACCAATACCTCTCATATTCCTATGCATGTCATTGTGTTCAATCAGTATTCAGTAATTCTTTAGATGATAAAGAATTCTTTAGATAAGAAAAAACAATGACTACTCGCATCCTATCCAAATGACCGACTGCAAAACCTTGAACCATGATCAGTATTTCTCCTCATAAAAGAGCAAAGTATAGTGGGGGATGCGCACAGAATTAATTAAGGTATGGACAAGTGCAGCACCAGAGATGCACTTTCGAAAACTTTGACATTATAGATTTCATGAATGCAAGTCTGGTCCTCTTATTTTTACCACAATAAATTAACACGAAGGTCAAATCCAGTAGGGGACCCAAAGGAAGAAACTATCAATTCTTGGAAACTTCCAGTGGCTACCCCTATCCATGGTATTCTCAAGTCGAAAATCCATAATATTTAACTTGCTATCGACATGCATTTTCACAAAGTGTAGGTGTTGTCAAGGCGACTTAGCATAATACTTCTAATACTTTCTGATATAAGTCTTTATGCCATCTTCAAATCATTAAATTAGTCAAATCCTCCTGCCTGAATCTAGCAACAAAACTCAACTTTTGAAGCCATTTCAACTCCAAAATGCATCATCAAACTTTAGGGTTTGAAGTCTTTTGATGTTGGAACTCAGCTTTACTATTTAATAAATTGACATAATAATATACGCAGCGGATTACAATAAACCATTTTTCTTCTTAGAACCAGCTAAATAAACAAAAATCAGTCTATAGAATACAAAAGCATGTCACTGAATATTTGCCAATGGTAATGATACAATCATGCTCACCAAAATAGGCTCTTGCAACAAGGTTTGGTAAATGACTTTTACTGTTTGATAATAAATGTGTAAAGGGTGAGGTTTGCATAAGGTGCCAACATTATAGTATTGAAGTCAGGCGCAGCACAAGACAATACTGAAAGATGCAGTTTTGGTGCTGGAAAGCCTTGCGATGGCATGAAAATTCCCTAGTTGTGAAATATAAAGATCCAAAAATGGTGAGGATCAAACATATCTATAAACACTTAAAAATCTAGAAAATGGACGGTCCAGATAATATATTAGAAGATGAGCAATTTGAGGACAATAAATCCTTTTTTTTCATATTCATGAATCGAGGTCAAGATGATCAATCGAAGGGTTTCAAGAGTCAGAACAGCTTTTTCCGGTGGGTTTTTTAGGTGTACTTACTTTCTACAGTACAAGGTTGGCACCTTATATAAACTTTTTCCTCTAGCAAATGCCCATAAATAAGTGATTAATAATGTACTTAAAATGAATAGATTCTTACATTTTTATAGAAAAAAAATCATCCATTTTGTTAGAACTTTGTCTTAGGTAATCTCAGAAATTTCCCTTTTTTACTCTTTTAATATCTGAAAGAAAACCAAACTAATTCATGAAAGTATTTGCACCTCTGAATTAATTATATTCTCAACAAGCCTGAAATGAAATATTTAAAACTTAAACTTGAGAGACAGCCTGATCAAAGCCAATACAATCAATACTCAGAGAATCAAAACCCATTTTGGCAAACCATATCCAGGCTGTAAAATTAAATCACTTTGGAAGAGACTCATAGAAATGGGGCATGCATTCTTTAAGTTTTAAGGATTGCAATTCACTAGTGGAACTCACAATCTCACAACATGAAAAAAGGACATCTAGACCTCAATCAGTTTTTGCAAGTAATAGTCAATTTTTATGTTGTTTTCACCATTATTTTTTGCTTGCGATAAATTTTTTATCCCAGGTCCAAGAGCAGATTCTGCAGAACAACTAAGAAATTAAAACTAATTTGTTCCACGAAAAGGAGCATCTTCTGTTATATAGGGCAGTGAAGTTGTACTGCTGCAGAACTGTTTCCAGCTGGATCAGAGGATTCAACCATCAATTATATCTCCATGTGAGGGAAAACCATCAATAGCCAGCTCTATTGAAGAGGCTTTTCTAAGGACTAGAAACCAAAAGAGACAACGGAAAGGTGCAAAAAAGATAAGATGGAAAAGAGGTAGAAAAAGAAGAGCAGCGAGAAATAGATAGACGAGAAGGGCCAGCCCAGCCCATCCCTACCTGAATATCGCCTGGTCCACAAATTTTGTCCCAAGGGCAGGACGACCAGGCCGGGCCTGGTACAAGCCCTTTCACCTGGCCCAACAAAAAAACAAGGTCGGGCTGACCCGGGCCTAGGCCATTGCCCCATTGGCCAGGTCCAGATAGGTCCTTTCCAGGCCCATTGCCACCCTTGGTGACAATCTCCATGGGTTGGAAAGATTCACAAGAAACAACAACTTTACTATCTGCATACAGTCATCTTATTGATAACAAATCCCTCATATAGTATTCCTCACGTCCTGTCGGGAGTCCCAGGGCACCACTTTTTCCAAGCAAGCTTCTCTTGCCGAGATCGAAAGCGCTTCACGTATATCGCCACCCCTTGAAATCAGTGAACTTGCAAAGCTTCAACTCGATCTTTTCTTTCAATGGAGCTTTAAAGTTAAAGCTCCTCCCCCCCTCTAACACTCCTCTCTCACGACGTCTCTCTTCTCCTTCCTTTCTCTCTCTGATATGTACTCCACGCACTTATCAAAAATTAACCTCGAATAAGGGTGAGACCCCCATTTTAAAGAAGGGGAATAGACAACAGGCTCCCAGTAGTTAAGTGGCCACTCACAGGTGGATGGGCACCCCTTGGTTGTCAATGTGCCCTTTTTTGAGATTTGGTGTTTCCTTATCGATCATTTATTTTAGAGATGGTATAGCGTTTATGAGTGCACAAGCACCACTTGACGGCTCAGATTGAACGGGTCCGAGGGCCAAAAATTTGTTTTGCTTTTTTATTTTTTACAAATTATTTGTACGTAAAAATTAAGGCATTCCTACATCTTTATAGCATGGACCCAATAAGCAATGAAGTAAAATACATCAATTAAAAATTTGTCAAGGGTACCCCTAAATGTTTCACGGGTATTTCGATCAATTTCTTATTTGAATTACTTCCATGTTTTTCCTTTATTGAGTGCGCCTTACAAATATGCATGTATGGACATACCCGATTACTTTCACATGAATTGAATTCATAAATGAAAATAAAAAACCACATTAATCTCAGGCCCTAGGATTGGCCAAGATTCACTTGGATCTTTGAAAGGGTTCCTAAGTACTCTTCAAGTGTCTACATGATGTGGACACTATACCTTTCGTCTTCTTATTATTGTGAAGTGACCATTTTCACTCTCATGATTTTGATGGATCCATAAGAAATAGCCCTTATCAAGACAATGTACATAATTCCCTCTCTTCACTTGTAGGGGATAGGCCTAAAGAATGCACCTCATTTATAATGTCTCATAAGGTTGATAGAAGGAGAATGCTCTATGCTTACAAAGAAGTATCCCCCATTATGTAGCCCTTTAAGGATCATAGGATGAAAATGCTTCATAGTTATAAGGACATCCCAACTAGGAGGGGAATGATCCACACATGGCCTCAGAAGGCGACCCACTCTCTTCTTAAAAGGCACAAGGACCCCACAAAGCAATAGAATTGAGGAGAGAAAAGGAACTCTTTCTTTTGGGGCAGGGACACCTAATTGTCTGGAAAGAATGTGGGGACAAAGCATGACACCGCAAAGCGAAAAAGTGGGGTGTTGCCCCCATCTTCTCAAGACGGAAAGTGGGCTCCTAAGGGACAGAAAAGGGAGTGCGAACACCATCTTCTAGAGATAGAATATACAGCATGGGCCTCACAAGAACCCAGACTTTAGGGGAAGATTGTAATTTAAAAGAACACTTTTCTCATACCCATAAATGCCCCCATCAACAAACATGCCACCAGGGTCCACTGAAGACAATTCAAAAGACAGCAACAGTAGTAGGACTTTAAATATCATCCCTTGGTGGCATGACGCATTTTACCACCTAAGAAAACCTGCCTGGGTGACCAAGGATAATCCTCTGCTTCCAAATTACCAATCCCTTGTTGTCGAGGGCCCAAAACATGACCCTAAAGTCCCAGCCCCAATGATAGATAAGTGGACCAAGTCCAGCACTATTGCACAACCTAGTGAGACAGTTTTTTTTGGCATTTTAAAATTGGGTTAGATGTAATTCGAACATGAGTAATGGTCACTAGCATGCATACACACTAACTATTAAGTCCCCTCCCCCCCCCCCCCATCGTTAGTTGCATATTGTTTTTACTTGTAAATTACGTAATACATATAATATTCCATACATATATGAGTTATACTCTCTCTCTCTCTCTC